CTCCGTCGCTGCAGCTGCCCCTGAGCCGCCGCCACCACCGCCGCCGCGGTGGGCAGTGTTCCGCTTCTTATTCTTCGGCATCGTGGGACGCCCGGTGCCGCGCAGACTCGGAGCTCAGCGAGGATCAGCCGATGGAGCTGCACTTTTTACTCGTGCGTCTGTGCGGCGGGCGGCTGAGCGGCGAGGCTTCGGCTAACAGAGGCGAGGAGCGGCGTGGGTGAGAGCGGGCGCTGGCGGCTGCAGAAATCCCGGTGAAGAGCTGTGATCGGAAACGATACATGTTTCTCTCTAGCGCGGGAGCTAAGGCGGGGCGGACGCGGCCACGACGCCTTAAGTAGCAGGACGGCCGCCTGTCACCGCATGTGGGTGGGGCTAGGACTCTCGCTAGCCAATCCCCGTGCCTCTCCCCACCGGCGCGGCCGCTGGACGCGGACTACCAATCCCATGCTGCCAGTGCCCCATCGGCGCCCCAGGAGCCAGTCTTGTTGCCGCATTGGACGCTGGGAGATGTAGTACGCCCGGGGGACGTCCCCTCCCGGCTCCTCCCAACGGCCTTTCCTGCGCCTTTGCCTCCTGCTGGCGGCCCCGCCCCTGCTTCCGGGCCGGCGGGGAATGGACCTGCAGTAGCCGAGGGTGGTGAGCAATGGGGCGGGTACGCGTGATGACGACAGCCCGCCGCCCATGGGAACTACGCCATCGGTGGCCCTTCCTCCCCCCGCTCGCGTTCTCCTCCGCTTTTACCTTTTCCCCCAATTCCCCTCGGCGGCCGTGGCAACGTGTCCGTGGCTGTAGCTGTAGAATTAGCTTAGCGATCGCCAGTAGCTATAGCTGAACTCCGGTTCAGGGCTGTGTCTTTCATTTCCACAGAAAGGTGAGCTCAACCAGATGAGTCGTGCCGTTCATGTCCTTCTCTTATTCTAGACTGGAAAGATCTGGCGGTTCAGGGATCACACGTCTCACCTGCCAGGTAGGCGGTCAGGTTCAGGGTTAGTTTCTGGGAACATAACAGCTGGTAAAACAGACACGAGCTATAAATAGCACTAATCGCTGTGTTTTGTTTTGTTTTGTTTTCCCCCCCAAGGTGATCCTAGCTCTGCCTTCCTTGGTGCATGTGTCATGTACTTAGGACCTGTTGTTCCATTCCTGCTCCTGGGCTTGACAAGCCACACTGGCTGACTCACCTCTCCCCCTCTCTCCTGAGTTCCTCCTTTTCTTCCTCCGCCTGTAGCATATTTGCATCCGAAGGTCTCCATGCCCCTCAACCCCCTTCCTGCCTTCCCTCTGTGTGCTCACACTCCTGCTATTCTCCCACGAGTCCAAGTTCAAAATCCCACGTTCGTATGTGGTTTCCTTCTCCGTTGGGCACCACCCTCCCTCCAAGAATAATAAAACTCTTTGAGTCCTAGCCTTGACCACACGTGCCCTCAGTTCATGCCTGGACATTTTAAGGGATCTCCCAGTTATGCCACCACCGTTTCATGGGTGATGAAGTTGCCAAACTTATTTATTCACTCACATGCTTTCCTAGTTGCCCAAGAACCCCCCCCCCCCCCGCCCCCCGGCTCCCTTCACTAGTATATTGAACGCCGATCCTCTGAGCCTGGCCTGGCCTTCCTCTCCGGCCCCATCTTTCACTGCTTCCCCAGACACCACCTGTTCTTCAGCCACCTGCACGCTCTCGTTCCCAGTGCACAGCTCTGCTGCCCTCCCGGAGCGGTCACTCACGCTGCCCCGTGTTCTCCATGTCCTAACTCCCATCCTCACCTTGCAAAAGGCCACCCGTCTCTCAGGGTCTAGCTCCGATGCCGCCCCTTCATGAAGCCTCCGACCAGAATGGCCTCTTCCTCCTCGGCCTCCTCTGCCTCCTCAGCCTCCCTGCAGCGCTCTCACGGCACTCATTGCATCCGCACAGGCCACACGGCTGTTCAAACCCTGAAGCAGCACGTATACCGCACTGAGCGAGCCGACCAGATAAGGGTGCCGGCCGGTGGGCAGGGCTCCCGCTGTGTCCCCGGCCCTCCCTTCAGAGGCTGGGGATCGAGCCCGTGGCCTTGGCTGACACCGAGGGAGAAGGCCCTGGGCTGAAGGAGTACGAACTATTTTATAACCCAGGCTCTTTATCATCCAGAAACAATGCAGGCAACAATTTTGCTACTCTCTACTCTCTGAGCCGCATCGTCCAGGTTCCCAGCCTCGAATGAAACTTGTGCTTTGCCTGCATTTGGGGCGCAGTACTTGTATCCGCATCCACTCATGGCCGCTTAGGGGCTTTTCTGGGGCAACTAGCCATGGCCACCTCATCAGGTACACACTGGTGTTATATCTGTTTGTCAACACAGCTGTCATTTCATGAAATTGTCAACTCCCTGCGAAGAAGAACCTTGTTTTCATCATCTCTATCCCTCAAAGCACATGAAAAGGGTTATCTTTGTCATTATAGACCAGCTGTGGGCAAACTACAGCCCGCGGGCCGGATCAACTAAAAAAAAAAAAAACCAAACCCTTTTTTTTAATGATGTTTACTTTGAATTTATATTAGTTCACACAAACACTCCATCCATGCTTTTGTTCCGGCCCTCCGGTCCAGTTTAAGAACCCATTGTGGCCCTCGAGTCAAAAAGTTTGCCCACCCCTGTTATAGACAGTATATGTTCAGTGAATGTTAAGAAATACTTGTTGACTAGATTTTTCTGGGCCCTGAAAAGGGAGTGCTATTACACATGTTGCTTTCAGTGGAATGAACTCTGAGAGCTCCTTTTCATAAAATCAGCTTAACTGTATCTTTATTATGTCTACGGTTTAACTCCAGGTCAGTACAAACACAGAAAGATTTAGCCATAGACCTCATAAGACAGTGATCCAAAACCTACATAGTGGTTTTGCAACATATTTGAAGAAATTACAAGACTCCCAGCAACACGAGAGAGTCACCAAATAACTGAAAATTCGAGGAGAAGCAGGGACAGGGCAAAGGGCTTTCTCACGCCCAGGCTTTGCCTGGTTCCTCGGAAAGAACACCCTCCCTAGGGACTTCATCTGCATCGAGGTGGCCTGATGTGTCACGGGTCATCCAGGAGGCAAGAGTTTGTGGTTGGGCTCATGGATGATCACATCTGAGGTTCTGTGGGTAAGAATGAAGGGGAGACCATGGATATAAGGCAGGCAACGGGCTGCGTCCACCTTCTGGACTGAGACAAAATTCTCCCAAATAAGAATCACATGTTTGTATGTTTGCTACCAACCTGACATCATGGGATACCTCTTACTCCTAAGAAGGTGAATCCTCGTCCCCCCCTCCCCCGCATCTACAAAACACAACTGACGCAGTCGAACGTCCCATCTAACAGACATTACCATCATGGTATCTTCAGATGTTGCAAGAATAAATTTCACAGTAACCTGAATCTGTGGACACACGTGAGGTGAGCTCTGACCTCTCATGGGATGTGCATATTGAGGACTGTGCAAGAACAACCTGAATCTGTGGACACACGTGAGGTGAGCTCTGACCTCTCATGGGATGTGCATATTGAGGACTTTGGTGCAAGAACAGGAAACATAAATAAGCCCAGCTGGCGTGGCCCAGTGGTTGAGCGTCGACCTATGAACCAGAAGGTCACAGTTTGATTCCTGGTCAGGGCATATGCCTGGGTTGCTGGCTTGGTCCCAGTGTGGGGCGTGCAGGAGGCAGCTGATCAATGATTCTCATCATTGATATTTCTATCTCTTCCTCTCCCTTCCTCTCTGAAATCAATAAAAATATATTAAAAATAAACACAAGACGTGGTATTGGAACCTCTCTTGATGCAGCAACATGGAAGGGTCTCAGAGACTGCAGTCGTGGCTTTGTGGGGTTCTTTGCGTGGCAGTGAGAGTAACTCCTCCGGTTCTCAGTCTAAGACTCGCCGCCCACCAGCTGACAACTCGGCCCCTCCCTCTGCCACACGGAACTCCTAGAAGGTCTCCAAGTTCACTGCCCGAGCTGCCGGGCCTGGCACGGTGGGCACGGCCTACCTCTCCATCTCATCTCATCTGCACCTCTTCCGTCCGCTGCACTGCCGGCTCAGCAGTCGGCTTCACCAACCCCCAATACCAAGTTCATTCCCCCCAGGACTTTTCTGCAGCTGCTTCGTCTGCCTGATACGAGGTCTCCTGAGCTTCCCACACTGCCACTCAGATCTCAGCTTAAATGACGCCTCCCTGCGGCCTCCCCCGCCCACCACCAAGCCTGTGTTCTGCCAAAGCGCCATGCCCCGGGTCTGTCTCTGGCTCAGTCACCATCGTCTCCGCCGGAATGGCGAGAGGGAGGCTTTGTTTTATTCGCTGCTTATCTTCAGAGCTGGAACATGGTGGATGCTCAGTTTACTGAGTGAATAAGCGGGTAATTCAGTGTCACTCCTCTACTGTCCCTCCTCCACAGCCCCTCCTGTAGTCCCAGGTCCTGGCCCTTCTGCTTTACATATCTCTCCTCTGTTCCTGGAGCTCCTTCCCCAGAGCAGCAGCGATTGTGTGCGTTGTCATTCTTGATTGAGACCCAAAGTGGGCAAAGTCCAGGGTCATCATCTCGGAACCAGACACCAGGGCTTTACTGAGTGCATGCAGCAGCCTCATGCACCTTGGAGAGAGGCCAGGGCACCCACTGGGTGAGCCGTCCCGGGCCGCGTCCCCCCCCCCTGGCAGGGAACAGCCTATGCACCCGACCGCAGCGGCCCTGCTGGACAACAACTGTTTCATTCAACTGGAGGGAATTTCCTCTGTATCTGAGCCATGTTCTTTTTTTTAAAAAATATATTTTATTGACTTTTTACAGAGAGGAAGGGAGAGGGATAGAGAGTTAGAAACATCAATGAGAGAGAAACATCGATCAGCTGCCTCCTGCACACCCCCTGCTGGGGATGTGCCCGCAACCAAGGTACATGCCCTTGACCAGAATCGAACCTGGGTTCAGTCCGAGGGCCAACGCTCTATCCACTGAGCCAAACTGGTTAAGGCTGAGCCATGTTCTTAAAGGCAAAGAAACTACTTATGGGGAAGAATGAGGCTTAACTACTGAAGTCTCCTCTGTCACAGCATTCTCCCAGGTTATTTTGTTTGTTTTTAACCGCTGGATTGAGGTGTGCTATACCAGAAGCCTTACACATTTAATGTGTACACGTTGAGTTTGGAGGTAAGTACACACCCGTAACACCATCAGCACAACCAGTGCCATGGACATACCCATCACCTGCAAGCTTCCTCCGGCCGTGTGTGTGTGTGTGTTTGCTAAGAACACTTAATTCTCGGCTCTTTCCACACGTCTCAGGTACTTCTTACGACACCCGTGAAGGAAAGACGAGCCTGACCACTCGGGGATGAAGAAATGGGCTCGGAGTGGGTGTGCAGCTTCCCTGAGCTCGGACTGTTGGCCAACAGTGAGGCCGAGGTTAGAGCCAGGCCCGCCGCCTCCAGGGTCCTGGCTGGCCTTGGCTCTCGGACCACGCCTGCTTGTCCCCGGAGCCGTGGTGATGTTTTCAGTGACCCCTGACCCCTGGTGCTGGTGCCTGGTGATGGCCTGGCCGACTCAGGTTCCTTACTGTCCCTACGGCTGCAGACAGACGAGCTCGTGCCTCTGTCAGTGGCCCCCAGCTGGCTACTCTTCGTCCTGCGGAGGCCGGGGCACTGGAAGGGCAGTTCTCCTTCTAAATGGGCTGCCAGCGGGTGAGCCATGGTGCCCTGGCAATGCCCCAAACACGGGGAATAAAGCATCCCCACCCACATGATAAAAGGGTTCATTTGATTCTAAGCATATAGGTCACGACTGTTGTTTTCTTTGAAGGCTATTGATTGGTTGGCTTGATTCCCACAGCCTAGTCTTTTTTGTGCGAAGGAGGGATCTCAAATTGTTTCCATTTACCCATCATTGAAACGACTTTGCCTTTGTCTTCTGTTCTGGTTCTTCGGATGCACACCCTTGCACACGAGGCTTCATAAGTGTAAGCTGTCGTCACCATCATCACCATCATCATCATCCCATTGACTCGCTGGTTTGGATTTTCCTTTCCTGGGCTTTGAGTTCTTTGTGTCAAGTTCGTCTTCGCAGCTCAGCATCTACCACTGGCCTGAAACCCAGTGGACATCCCGTGACGCCTGTGGACGGATGACCACGTGACTGCCTGCGTGTGCCCTTGACGGGCTCCTGGCTGCCCGATAAACCCACACGCTGTAGCCTGGCTTCCGGGCCTCGGAATCTGGCTCCGACCCACCCGCTTGGATTCATCTGCCCCTAAGCAGGCCCAGCAAGATGGGGCACAGATCCCCAAATGACCCTTCCCTCCACCGGAGCGTCTCCAGGCCTCTCCTCCACCCTGGTCACTGCTGATGCAGGTGCCCTTTCCTGGACCGTCTCCTGACCCCTTACAGGTGGCCCCCCAGGCTAGAAACAGGCACGCTCCCCACAGTGGTCTGTGGGTGTGATAGCACAGTACAGGATGGGAATGCGGCTACATTTTCAGGCTTCAGGGCCAGAGCAGGTCCCCTCCCCATCGGCGCCCCACGGAACC